TATTCAATCTGAAGAACAGATGGAAAAAATTTTTTTTCAAAAGTAAATAAAACCTCTGAAACTTTCAGGGCAACATTAAGAGGTCTAAGAAGATTATCCAGGCTGCTTAGGAGCAGAAACTCTGGATCCAGGAGAATGGATCTCATAGACACGCGGGCACAGTCACTAAGATGTTAATCACGGTCTGTGGAAGGGAAATAACAGAGTCAAGAAATATTAAGAAGAAAGAAACATCAAGTCTTGTAGTTAGTTAAATAAAGACATACAAAAGAAAGAGAAATCTCAGATTTAAACCTAGAGTTATGAGACTATAAAAATACATGAATTAAAATGAAGAATTATGACATTTTTAAAATAAGGAATTTCAAAAAACAAGTGAGAAGCCAAGAGAATATATCTGCAACTAATTTTTCAGCTAATAATATATTACAGCCATATCATAGGCATATATATATATGTATATAAAGGACTAATCTCTCAACTACATGAAGAACTCTTAAAAATAGAGGGGGGGAAAGACCAAAAATCTGTTGGAAAAATAGGCAAAGGACATGAACAGTTAACAGAAAATAAAAGAGACAAACATAAGAAGATGCTCAACTGTATTCATATTAAGAGAAATGCAAATTAAAACTACGTGAGTTATTTCTCCCTTACCAAATTGGTAAATTTACATATGCTTTTACTCTTTGACCTGCCAGATTCCACTGTTAGGAATTTATTTGCAGATATAACTCCATGAATATGAAAAATATGCACATGACTATTCATTGCAGCATTATTTGTAATAGCAAAATATGAAAAATCATCTAAATTTAAATGATCATCCATGGGAGAGTGATTGAATAAAATATGGTACCACCACACAGTAGACTAATAAGAACGTGTTAAAAAAAAAGAAGAGGAATCAGCCTGTGACCTGATATGCAGTTATTTCTTGGATATATTGTCATTGTCAAGGGGAAAAAGCAAGGTGCAAAACAGTAGTGGGGGGGGGGGTGTGTGTGTGATGGTTTTATCAAAACAAAGCATGAGAAGAAAAATCCAGAAACTCATGAAAACTGTTTGCCAGAGAGTGTAGATGCGGATGGGGCCAAAGGTCGAGAAGGGAGGCATATCCCTTTGAGTGTAACTTTTGACATAATTTTGCTTTGGAACCATGTAAATCAAATAAAAAGGAATAGAAGGATGCAAACCCTAAAGCTGAAAACAAGCAGAAACAACTCTATCTTACAGCAAATAAATAATCTAATCCACAGAGAAAATAATTGATTCAAGTAACTTTTAGATGCATATTCTAACTGGACACCCTCAGTGGACGGGACAAAAAGAACTGCAAAGAAACTCTGAGCTTGATTTACTAGATTTGTGATAAAAGAACAGTAATTCTGAAAGTATTCTGTGTCTTAATAGATTAAATGAGTAACTATACTACATTTTTTTTTTTTTTTTTTGGAAATTAGGACTCACTATGGGAGAATGAAGATACAAATATGGAATGAGGAAAGGTGAGGAAAAATCGGCAGTATCACTATGCACTCATGATCTAAATACAAACGTAACCTAGCTCTGCACTCAGAACAGCTAGAAGTAATAACAAAAAGCACACCCAGCATCAATCATTTCACCTAGCAGGCCCATGCTCCGCAACAAGAGAGGTCCCTGTGATGAGGAGCTGGAGAACTGCAACTAGAGAGAAGCCCCTGCTCGTTGCAGTGAGAGAAAGCCCATGCACAGCGATGCAGATCCAGCTCAACCAAATAAGTAAGCAACTAAATAAACAAATACCACACCTCTTCTGAAAGGGGAGATGACTGATTCCATTTCTGGGGCAACATTCTGTTGTGTAAGCGAGTAAGGAAGTTCCTCAAAACTCATGGGGATTTGTGAGAAGGCCAAAGAAGCCAGCTTGGAGGGACTGCTGCTGGCCAAATCTTGTGGGAAGTGGAGAGTAAGACCACAATGATGCTGAAAATAGGAGACTTAAAGGTGAGGGGAAAGACAGGCGGATGGAGCCCTTCTTGATGCAAGAACACCAGATAATAAGGGCTTCTCAGGTGGCGCTGGTGGTAAAGAACCCTGCTGGCTTCTTTGCAGGAGATGTAAGACATGGGTTCAATGGCTGAGTCAAGAAGATCCCCCGGAGGAGGGCTCGGCACCCCTCTCCATTACACTTGCCTGGAGCATCCCATGGACAGCAGCCTAGCAAGCTGTGGTCCATAGGACTGCCCAGAGTTGGACATGACTCACGCAATTTAGCACCCATGCAGGCACCAGATAACAAATGTAGAATGAAAGGCACAATTAGAGATTGTAACTGCCAATATAATGATGGATTTAGGGAAGGATCATCAGTGGATGTTAAAACCACTGAAGAAAGGCTGTTTGGAACAGAACTGTCAGCCTCAACTATTCCTTATAAAAGGAAAGAAGTACCTTTACTAGCAGACACCACCTTGACCAGTGCTCACAAGCAGCATTACGAATGATGGAGAGTAAGGGACATGATGTGCCTCCAGAGGGACCCGGTGGTGAGCGAAAAACATCCCCTGTGTATGACATTTGCCAGAAAGAGTTATTCTGTATCTAGTCAGAAGGCAATAATTAGACAAATCCAAGTTAGTGAACACTCTAGAGGACAGCTGGCTGGTTCTTCAAAAATTGCCAGCATTGGGCTTCCCTGGTGGCCCAGCGCTCAAGGCTCCATCTTCCAATCCAGGGTTCAATCCCTGGTCAGGGATCCCAGGTCCCACACGCTGTGGTATGTGACCAAAAAAAAAAAAAAAATGTTTTAATGCCAGTGTCATGTGGAGCAGAAAGAACAAAGTCGATGGAAAAGGGGTGTGGGGAATATTCTAGGTTAAAGAGCCCTAAGAGACATGACCACTGAATGTAATATGAAATCCTTGACTGGGTCAGAAAAGAAAAAAATAGCTTCAAAGAGGGAGGTGGGAGCGGGGACCGGGATGGGGAATACATGTAAATCCATGGCTAATTCATTTCAATGTATGACAAAAACCACTGCAATGTTGTAAAGTAATTAGCCTCCAACTAATAAAAATAAATGGAAAAAAAATAGCTTCAAAGAACACTAAGAAGGTAGTTGGAAACTCTGAATACGAATTTTACATTAGATAAAACAATTGTACCAATTATTAAATATTTGAGCATGATGATGGTATTGTAGCTGCGTAGGAGAATGTCCTAGTTCTTAGGAGATGGAGACTCCTAAGAGATGAAGGATCATGATGTCCACAATCTAATTTCAAATGGTAGAGGGGAAAATTGAAAAATGTGGCGAAAAAAAAGTCAAACGCCAATAATTGGTGAGTCTAAATGAAGAGATAAGGTTGACTGGTCATCGTATTATTCTTTCACCTTTTCTATAGATTTGACAAGTTGGGGAAAATGAAGAATTGGGCATGAAAATCCAGTTTACATGTGTGGATAAAGGGAGCCCTCTTTCAGCCATAGGTGTGAACGTTGCTACAATAACAACAGGTAAGTTGTTCACAGCTTTGTTGTGAAAAACTGGTTACTCAGCAACATCAGTGGAAAATGCCCTGTTAATTTATTTGGGGGGCTGGAGAAGTAGAAAAGAAAACCATTTAACATCAAGTATTGCAGATGAATGAAACTCCAGCTGTCCCTACTCCGACAGAAAGTGAAAAATTAGATCTTACTGATGTTTGATTTCTGGGAAGCCACTTGGCAGAAGTTTTCAAAGCCTGGGTCTACGATTCTCTGCACTCGCCCTGGTTCCCAAAACATACGTGGCACACCCTGAGCTGGCCCAAGCTGACATAGTTGCCATCTGTGTCTTAGAGACATGCTAAAAGAGCAAGGCATGGAACACAGTTTTCTGCCATTTGTACACACAGATACATTTGTGTGACTGCAAAATCTTTCTGGAAGGAACCAGAGAAACTGGTAACTTATTCTCTAGGGAGGAAAGCCAAGTTGCTACTGTTGTTACCTTTTATTCCACTGTTCTATTTGAATTTTTCCATGTGAATATATTAACTGTTCAAAAGAAATATTTGAATTAATGGTGAAGAATGGGTGGAAGGATGGATGATGGCTGGACGAATAGATGGATGAATGGATAGACAGATGGATGGATGGATGATGGATGGGTAGACAGAAAAATGAGTGTATATACAGCTCCCATTCCACACACTTGCTCCACAATACCTCCCCTTGGACCCCACACCCCAGTTACAAGGATGGGGCTGCTCCCAGGCTAATCTCCAATTTGAGGCTGACTACCCCTGTGCTGTGGAGAAGGCAATGGCACCCACTCCAGTACTCTTGCCTGGAAAATTCCATGGGCAGAGGAGCCTGGTGGGCTGCAGTCCATGGGGTCGCTAAGAGTCGGACACGACTGAGCGACTTCACTTCCACTTTTCACTTTCATGCATTGGAGAAGGAAATGGCAGCCCACTCCAGTGTTCTTGCCTGGAGACTCCCAGGGACGGGGGAGCCTGGTGGGCTGCCGTCTGTGGGGTCGCACAGAGTCGGACACGACTGAAGCGACTTAGCAGCAGCAGCCTCTGTGCTGTGTCTGAGGTCTTTAGTTTATGAAACACAGCTTCTCTCAGCCCTGCCTCTCTGCTGATTCTAGGACTCTCCCCACCCCCCCGCCCCCTACAGCCCTGAAACTGTCTCCTAGCCCACTGTCCCTAGCCAAGGGGACTTCATCTGTCAAATTCTAACACCCACCCACTTTATCTGCAAGGACAGAACCGAATTGCAGCAAATTTCATGGCCTGGAATTGCTCAGCCTCTAGCACAGGGAAGAATTCTATTCACACCCCTGGGAAGCCTTCTGATGCCTGGCCAAGGTACCTCGCTTCCCTGGGGACTGCCTGCTAACATCCTTCTCTCCATCGCTGTGGTAATGTGCATTTTACAGCAATTGCTCTCACATCAAGCAGCCCCCAGGATCTCATCTCTCTGGCCTCTGAGGGGGCAGTGTTTCTGGCTGCTTTCCTTTCCAGCAAAGGGCAAGAAGGGCCATGCAAAGGGTTCAGACACCTTCCCATCTCTGCTGCCGGATAGCACCAGGGCAGTGGAGGTGAAGAAGCATGGGGCCCAGGTAGATGACGCCACCGGGAAGGGTGAGTCAATCGGTCTGCAGTCCCCGTCCCCGTCACAGGCTGTGATCCCACGAGAGTCTGCATGGCAAGAGCGAGGACCGTGCTGTCTCCATCTTTTAGGGGCAGAAGGTCCTGGGGGTGCCCACCCTCCACCCCTTATCAGGCACGCACCCGGCCCTGCCTACGGTGCATGAGTTAGGACTGGCATCCCATGGCTCCCAGCTCCTGCCAACCTGGCAAATGACCTTCATGCACAAGGAAGCCCCCACCTCTGCCCCGGGAGCATCCGCTGGCTGACACAGGGTCACAGGGTCTAGCCTCTTGCCTCACCGTGGGACCAGTTCTGTGCAGTTTACAGCCAGAGCCCCCCTCACCCACCCACCACTGGGAACAGGCCGAAGCTGAGACCCCAGGCTGACTCAGTTCCTCTCCTGCCCCATCCTGCTTGCCTCAGCCCCTGTCGTGGGGGTGCACCCCCAGCACAGCGCAGCCTCTGCCATCCCAGCTCGGGCTCCGTCCCCGAGGAGACCCCTGCATTCTCCTGCACGGACGCTCCTCCAGCAGCCCCACTCTCGGGAGACGCCTGCAGAAGGGAGGCGCGGCCGGGGCCGCGCGGAGACTGCTGAGCCCACTTGCCCAAAGGCACACAGACGGAGCGGGAGGAACCAACACAAGGTCAGAGATGCCGGCTGCTGCCGCCCCACTTAGGGACACTGAGCCAAGAGGATGTGGAACACGCGTCAGCCTCGGACCAGACGTCCAGAGCCCTACAGGGCTCCTTCAACCACATCAGACCTTTCAGCCTCTAGTCAGGATTACGTCTTTAATCACAAAACCAAAAAAACCAAAACCTCTTGTTAACACACACACATCAGTTGGATCTTTTACTTCAAACAGCCCGAGAGAAATACAAACCCATCTGTGGTATCCTTAATCCCTAACATGATTACCCTGTTTACCATCTTTAATAACCTGATTCCCATCAATGACTACGGCCCTTCGTGGACAACAGCAGGACAGCAAAGCCGAGTTTCAGGGAGGCCCAGAGCTGGTGTTCCTGGAGGACATCAAGCCTTTCTTTTAAATGGTTACACTTTTTGGGGGGCGGCCACGCCATGCAACATGCGGGGTCTGAATTCCCTGACTGGGGATTGAGCCTGTACCCCGTGCATTGAAAGCTCAGAATCTTAACCACCGAACCACCAGGGAAGTTCCAGGACATGCTGCTTCAGCTAAGCAGCATCAGGTCCATGGGTATGATCTTCGGGGGTTACAGGGCAAGGGTTGCCCTTGCCCACCCTCCCAACTCTCCCCACCCCCGACCCCCACTAGCATCAGTATCTTGCTAAGATTTTGGATCGTTTCATATATGCCAGGTACCAGGCCAAGTGGTTTCCCTGCATCTTCCCTTTTCATCCTCACGATCTCCCGTCTGGTAGGTACAAGCAGCTGACAGGTCAGAAACCTGGGGCTCAGAACACTGAAGTAACTTGACAAGTCTACGCAGCTAGAGAATGCCAGAACCAGTGCTGGCTTCTGGGGGCAATCTGAGTCCAAAGCCTGCACTCTCACACCCTACTTCTGAGGCCTGGGCCTTGCCTAGGTCCACGTGGCCCCCAGCAGCTGACCCTAAGGCATTTTCTAACAACGTGGCCCGAGGAAGCCAAAGACAGAACAGATGGGGCCTTTGGATCCATGCAGAATAAGAAACCGAACTAAAACTCTCAGCCTGCGAAGTACATCCCTTCGCGTCCCTGGCAGAAAAACAGAGGAGAGATAAACAGCTGAGGCTGCTTCCAAACCTGTCAGCTATTTCCATCTGAACATAAAGACACTGAAAGGAGTGAGGCTATTTTTATTTTTTTCCTTTTTCTGAAAGGCCATTGGTGGACGCTTCTGCCCTTGCTGGCAATAAAGCGTTCCTTTAATTATCAGTTTGGGGCCAAGCTCAGAAAGCTATTTTCCAGCACTATTGTCACAAGGAAATGAAAGGCGCCCGCTTCCCGAGCGGTTCTTGCCGGGGCCACGGGTGGTCATAGATACGCTGGCCACTCGGGAGCGTGGCCGAGCGTCCAGAGGGAGGCCACTGTGGTGACGGCCCAAACGCAGAGAATACGATCCTCGGGACTCCGGGACTGTCGCAGGAAACAGACCCAGCACCTTGAATTGGCCTTGGGCTTCTGCCTGCCTTCCTGCTGAGCACAGGCGTCTTCAGGAAACCGTGATGGGAAGGAGACCAAGGGGGTATTTCTTTTGCTACCTCTGAGCCTCAGCTTCATTCCTGAGAACATTCCAAGGTCTTGCTGGCATGATCCCAATGTCCCCAGCTCCCAGGCTAGCCACTGCCAGCTGGAATCCAGACATTCCACTCAAGAAGACACACACTTTCCCCCATCCCATGTCACCCCCCACCAAAACCTTCCCCAGCTTCCCATCACCTTCATGAAAGGGGCCCCACTCCTGCACCAAGCATTTAAGGCCACTCCGATCGAGACTCTAGAGGCGCAGGGGGGATGATAAAGATAATTGAGCTGAGCATTAGTACTCAGGTTTGGGATCATAGCTGTGTGACCTTGGACAAGTGCCTTCACCTCTCTGAGCCTGTTTATTATATATTGCTGCATTTTAAAATTACCACCTGGCTGGTGGGAATGCAAACTAGTATAGCCGCTATGGAGAACAGTGTGGAGATTTCTTAAAAAACTGGAAATAGAACTGCCATATGACCCAGCAATCCCACTTCTGGGCATACACACCGAGGAAACCAGATCTGAAAGAGACACGTGCACCCCAATGTTCATCGCAACACTGTTTATAATAGCCAGGACATGGAAGCAACCTAGATGCCCATCAGCAGACGAATGGATAAGGAAGCTGTGGTACATATACACCATGGAATATTACTCAGCCATTAAAAAGAATTCATTTGAATCAGTTCTAATGAGATGGATGAAACTGGAGCCCATTATACAGAGTGAAGTAAGCCAGAAAGATAAAGACCAATACAGTATACTAACACATATATATGGAATTTAGAAAGATGGTAACAATAACCCTATATGCAAAACAGAAAAAGAGACACAGATGTACAGGAAAGACTTTTGGACTCGGTGGGATAAGGCGAGGGTGGGATGTTTCAAGAGAACAGCATCGAAACATATATATTATCTAGGGTGAAACAGATCACCAGCCCAGGTTGGGTGCATGAGACAAGTGCTCGGGCCTGGTGCACTGGGAAGACCCAGAGGGATTGGGTGGAGAGGGAGGTGGGAGGGGGGATCGGGATGGGGAATACATGTAAATCCATGGCTGATTCATGTCAATGTATGACAAAAACCACTACAATATTGTAAACTAATTAGCCTCCAACTAATAAAAATAAATGGAGAAATAAAAAAAATAAAATTACCACCTGGGACTTCCCTGATGATAGAGTGGTTAAGACTCCATGCTTCTAATGCAGGAGGCACAGTTTTGATCCCTGGTCTGGGAACTAAGATTCCACATGCCAGATAGTGTGGCCAAAAAATTCAAAATAATACAATAAAATAACTTAAAAGTTAGAGGGTTTAAAACAGCACACTTTTGTTACCTCACAGTTTCTGGGGATCAGGCATCCAGGCATAGCTCCCCCGGGTGCTCTGATCAGAGTCACTTATGGGTTGCAAAGTGTCAGGCTTTCCTGCGGTCTCATCTGAAAGTTCAACTGAGGAAGGATCCAGTTCCAAGCTCACGCCTCTGGTGTTTGTAGCGTTCAGCACCTCGGGAGCTTCTGGAGTTAGTGCCTCAGCTCCTGACAGACGGCAGGAGCCGCCTGAGTTTGCTTCCACCCAGATCTTTCCTGCTTCATCAGAGCAACCACGTGAGAAGAGCTGAAAGACAGAAAGTGCCAGAGAGTCACTTACATGATTCAGTTCAGTTCAGTCGCTCAGTCGTGTCTGACCCTTTGAGACCCAATGGACTGCAGCACGCCAGGCTTCCTTGTCCATCACCAGCTCTCGGAGTTCATCCAAACTCATGTCCATTGAGTCGGTGATGCCATCCAACCATCTCATCCTCTGTCATCCCCTTCTCCTCCTGCCCTCAATCTTTCCCAGCATCAGGGTCTTTTCCAATAAGTCAGCTCTTCACATCAGGTGGCCAAAGTATTGGAGTTTCAGCTTTAGCATCAGTCCTTCCAATGAATATTCAGGACTGATTTCCTTTAGGATGCACTGGTTGGATCTCCTTGCAGTCTAAGGGTTAGGTGGTTATAAAAGAAATCCATCCTTATAGCCTAATCACAGGCATGACATCTTACACCTCTGCCATACTCTGTTTGTTAGAAGCTAGTCGCTAGGTCCAGCCCACATTAAAGGGGAAAGGATTACACAGACGTGTGAACACCAGAGGGTGAGGATCACTGGGGGCCACATCAGAAGCTGCCCACCCCCAGTTTCCTTCACCCTAAGGTGCAAATTGGGTTTCCCTGGTGGCTCAGTCTGTAAAGAATCCACCTGCAATGCTGGAGACCTGGGTTCAACCCCTGGGTTGGGAAGACCCCCTGGAGGAAGGCATGGCTACCCACTCCAGTGTTCTTGCCTGGAGAATCCCCATGAACAGAGAAGCCTGGTGGGCTGCAGTCCATGGGGTCGCAGAGTTGGACATGACTAAGCGACTAAGCACAGTACAAGGTGCAAATTACACAGAGGTGTTGCAAAATTGAATTATAAACATAGAAAATGCTTAACACAATGTCTGATAGATTATAAGTATCCAATAACTGGTTCTCTCGCTTTTTTCAGATCAGAATTTCTTGACCTTTATTTCATTATCACTCTCATAGTAAGGATCCTTTTGGGCAGTGTTTCCCTAATTGACCCTCTCATCCTCATGAAATTTAATACCTCAGATATACTGCACAGGGTTGAGTTCTGGAGGACCATTTACCATTGTAATATATAAGATTTTTCACTCCCTACAAGAACTAATTATTTTCCCTGTTGGTGATACTGCCTCTGCAGCAAATATATGCTCTAGATTCATCTCTTTTCTCATACTTCCCCATAACTACATCTGTGTTCATGCGTGTGTCCATGCATGCTAAGCTGCTTCAGTCATGTCCGACTCTTTGTAACCCCATGGACTGTAGCCCGCCAGGCTCCTCTGTCCATGGGATTCTCCAGGCAAAAATACTGGAGTGGGTTGCCATGCCCTCCTGCAGGGGGTCTTCCCAACCCAGGGATCGAACCCACGCCTCTATGTCTACCTGCTTTGCCAGGTGGGTTCTTTACTACTAGTGCCATCTGGAAGCCTGTGTGTACATGTGTGTGCATGTAAACATGTGTGTGCAAGCACACATACAAGCTAATGCCAGCTACACGAGCATTACTTTCTCCTGATGCCGTGGACTTTCTTCTCTCTGTGCTTCTGCTCACTGGTTCTGTCTGCCTACGGCACCCTCTGACCCTTAGTCACCTGATTAACTCTGGGTCACCCTTAAAGTTTCAAGCAGAGCAAATATGTGACAGGCAGCCTCCAGGATGACTTGATGATTTCTGCCTCCTGGTGTTCACACTCTTGTGTAAGCCCCTCCCCTTGAGTGTAGGCTGGACCCTCTAACTCACTTCTAGCAAACAGAAAGTGG